CCGGCTGGGCTTAAACCACGACAGTGCTCCATGTGTGGTCCTGGCTTCAGCAGTCACGTTTGAAAGAAATCAAACCCTATGCTGAATCACTGTGATATTTGGTATGTATGAATGGTTATAGTGAAATTCACTTTAGGAGAGATACACATATGCATGTGTAATCATAATGTTAAAAAAAAAAAAGACAGGATGCACTTTACTCTGTTGTGGGCAGTCAACCCTTAATAGCACAGGAATAGAGGTAATGAATCTGATTTAGAAGCACAGATCTCATTTTCATTGGCGAAAACAAAGAATGCATAGAAAGTATAAGCAGATTAGATTAACATGTCTTCCCTGTGATCTTTACACAAAGTGTGCAATTTCAAACCCACTGACCTGGACAAACTTTTAATCAGAATGTAAAGCATTTATTCTTATGCATAGATATATGTTAGAGATGTGATAGCTAGTCTTGGTTATTGCATTAAAATTACTCTTTCTACTCTTCCTTTCAGTCACTGACTTAATATCAGACTTCAGATTGCTTCATTAATTGTGTAGCATAGTTTGATACTATTTGATTCTGCCTATTTTAACATCCCAGTTTGGAAAGTGTTAACTGTACTTCATGCTCTTCCTCACTTTATTTCTATAGAGTCCCATTAAAAAAAAAAATGTGAAAAAAGTAAATACATGAAAATTTGTAAAGATTGAATGAATAAAAGAAAGTTACTGAGTCATAGCCATCCAGTGGATAAAGTAGGTTAATATGTGTAATATATATTCTTGGCTCTAAGTTTCTTTTTGAACTATATATTGCTCCTTTGCTTTCCCTAAAGTGCAATCTTCTCAGGCAGATCTAGAAAAGTCCTCATTCAAACACCCCTTTTCCATTTAGAAAACCAGCTTTTTTCCTTACCTGCAAATGGTAGATCAAGTCAGGAGAGAATGCTTCTATTAGGAACTACTCAGTGTACGTAAGGATTGCCACCCAACATGTGAAATGAAATGTAAGTTTATCCATTCAGGCTTTACCCGTTATGCAGATCTTCAGGCTTAGAGATGTTGCATCACAGTACCCAAAGAAAGCAGTTCTGCCCATTCCAGCGCTTTTCTTGATCATAGCAATTGCCGACCAAACAGCAGCATTGTTTAAAAGCATGTATGATTCTATGTTCTCGTGTGTACTCAGTACACCTCCTTCCTTTGGAAGACAGTAAGACAAAACTGATCTTTTAAAAGTTAAGTTATAATGGAATGGAAAAGTTGTTTAAATTGTTGAATGTTAATTTGCCTATCCATTTTAGGATGGTAAGAGGAGTCACTTGGAGTGACGGAGAGCATTTAAGTTTCTATTGCAACTTGCAGAATGAGTCATGAGATAACTAATGTATGTATATATGTAGAAAAATACAGTAGGGTTTTGTTGTATTTTGTAACTTAATAACTCAGCTTACAATTTCCTTTTATAGTTTTTAGATTGTTTAATATGTCCTGCCAAGAAAACATGTGAATTATTGATTGTGTTGTAGAATTACTTGTAAGGTAAAAAAATGCATTGGAGATAAATGTAAGATGTCGTGATGTAATTGTTTTAATTTCTTACTCTCTTATTTTTGAAACCTTAAAAATATCAAACTTATTTTATTGCAGAAACCTTTGAAATGCTTATCAGACTGGCTGAGAATTACACAAGCACACTTTTCTGCAATGCATATAGAAACATGGCTGCTGAGGCTACTACACATATTCAGGAGTTTTTTGCGGATGTTGGACTCTTCATGTTTGGCACAGACATTAGCACAGAGGAATCTGTCAATAGATTTTTTGACACCCTGTTCCCAGTCATCTATAACCATGTGATTAACCCTGGTCTGACTGACATTTCACTGGAATATGCAGAGTGCCTCCGAATGGCAAGAAGAGACATCAGACCCTTTGGTAACATTCCCAAAAAGGTCATAGGACAAATGGGAAGATCACTGTTACCCAGCCGGACTTTTTTGCAGGCTCTGAATTTGGGGATTGAAGTGATCAATACAACAGATCATCTGCATTTCTCTAAAGACTGTAGCAGAGCTTTCATAAGAATGCAGTACTGCCCCCACTGCCAAGGGCTGACTCTAAGTAAGCCGTGTATGGGCTACTGCCTCAACATCATCCGAGGCTGCTTAGCTAACATTGCAGAAGTTGATCTTCATTGGCGGGGATACATTCAGTCCCTGGAGGAGCTCTCTAGTGCCATGAGTGGAACATATGACATTGAGCAGGTGCTTCTGAACTTCCACTCGCTTGTTAATGATGCTATTGTACAGGCTCATATCAATGGGCCAGAACTATCTGAGCAGGTAAGAAGCTGATTTTATCCACATTCAGTGCAAACATGACACTAAGAAACTTAACACTCATAACTATTATTTGTTTGGACATTTTTATGGTGTTGAAATGTTTGTATCTGAGTTCAGCTTTATTTAACAATGCTTTTTTCCAGCACTGCCAGTTTCTATTTTAATCATGCACATGACCTGCTAATTTCCCATATTCTATTTACAAGTTTAACATCAAATGGGGATTCAACGTTTTGGCAGCATTTACAGTAAAGGCTATTCAGTATGAAAAGAATTATTGTGTGGAATTTATCTTTTCCAACTTCCCATGAAACCACAGCTTTTTTCAAAATTTTGCTGAGTGAGTGAAATATTATTGCTGCACAATCCAATGGAAATTTCTTTTCCTTTACCCTTTTTATTTAGAAGTTAACATTTTCAGTAGATGCACTGAATAGCTTTAGGTTTAAATTTGCAACTGTCTGTTAAGATCTGCTGAACAACAGTGAACAATGGAATGTGTCATTTAGTTTGGAAGCTTTAAATATTAATGATAGGAAAGTGAATTATCTGGTGAAAAACTAATTCCACAAATATTCTATAAAATCAGAATAATACCCTGACATTTGTGTAAATGAGAGTGTTAAATCTCGGCAATATTTGTTTGCAGATTGGAAACTTTTTCTATGACATACTAGGATATTTGAAGAGAATAATTTTTAAGAGTACAAAAAAAATGTTTTTCATGAACATAAGAAAATTGTTTAATCAATATTTTGTATATACATTTGTAGATGTGTAAGATATATATATCTTATATGCAGATAATGATATATTTAAACAATCCTGCTTTTAGAGACCAGTGGCCTGTCTTAACCTGTGACTTTGCATTTATCATTTGCATAATTTTTTAGGTTTCAAAGAAAGTGGCCCAGTTCATTTTTAACATGAACTAAATCCTTCCTTAAATATACTCAAGGGAAAAAGTAAGTTGCGTGAGAGTTGTGTTAGCTGTGAATGCATGTAGTGAAGAATTTTAAGATATGGTTAGCTAAAGTACACATTATTTAGCTACACATTAGAAAGAAAGCTAGTGTATCTGAAAATTTAAGAATTTAAGAATGTTAAGTAAGTAGCAAAATTTGAATTCTTCATATGTTATATTGCACCAAAATACCTTTTGTAATTGGCATTTTTCTCTGTATTCTTACATGCAGGCTTCACTGATGGTTGACAGATTCTGTGCTTAATGCTGGATTGGATATCTTGGTCTGGGGACATGCCTTTAGTTTTACAGTATACACAGGTCTAAACAGGGTGTCTCGGTGTCACTGTGGTTTGGCACTGTGGGGCAGTAATACTTCTACTGCCTCTTTATGTGACTAGCTGGAGTTGAAGCAGTATCTTCTGCTAAGCAGCTGATATGAACATCTGACAATAAAGAACTTGACCTAGTGTAACAAATAGAGGATTCTTTACTTCTTAGTAAGACCCACAGTCTGTTAAAATGGGTTCTTCATCCTGCTTGTAGTCAGTGAGTAACTGGGAAATTGCACATTTCTATGAATTTCCCATTTTATCTGCTTTATACCGGCCAGCTACATTATCTGAATCTTCTGCTGATGAACTTCCTTGAGAAAGAAAGTGATTTTTTTTTTGAAAAATTTTAACAGTTTGTCTTAGAAGTGGCTCACTGATGTTTGTCTAATTCCTAATATGTTTCAGAGCTTCAGTTGCCTTTTAGGGATAATCCCTGTTCCTCCTTAGATTTTTGGGGGATCTTTTTTACTAGAATAGGAAAGTAAAGGCTCCAGGGAAAGACTCTGTTTCCTGTTTCATTCTGGGTCATTTAGCTTGAAAAGTTTTAAACTTGGGTTTTCAACAGTGAACTGGCATTGACCCAGACATAGAAGTCTCTCAGCACACTCATATTTTCAAAATGAAATTTTTTATGCTTTATTTTGGTATTCTTGAAAACTCTATGCCTTCCCTCTCCACTCCTTCGTGTGATGTAAGGAATACTAAATTTTCTTATGCAGAGATATTTTGTGTCAATGTGTTTGTTTGAAGATCAAGAGCTTACTACTGTTAAGATCTCATATAGAATCACGTCCAAACTTTAAAAACAAAATTCTTCATTTGTCATTCAGTCTGTGTGAGAACTGTGCATTTAGACACCTCTCACTTAATCTCTGTGTTACAATTGACCAGTCCTTTCTCTGATCTATAGTTTGGTCAAATATGATGCATTGATCCATTGAAACATGGTGATCTATTCAGTTCTGATTTACTGACTATGGCTTTGAGTATATTTGCCCATGCATTAGGTAGTGAGACCTAATTCTGGCATGTAATAAATAGTCTTTCAGGTTTAAGAGGCAGAGGACATGAATTCTGTTGAAATTGACTCATTAATATTTATTTATTTTATCTTCAGAGTGACTCATGAACTGTTTCAAATTTTGATAACCAATTAATGCATCAGTGATTCTAGCAGACATAGAAAAGATGATTATGAGCCAGCAAATAATGGCTCATTTAAGCACGCAGCAGTCTCTGCAGTTTTAAAAGTGAATTTCATCACAGCAAGCACTTTCATGAGTTTTAAAGAAGCAGACAGAGAAAAAAAAAATCTTTAAATATTTGGAAGTATGATATATAAATATGCAAATGTTAATATGAGAATCAACAGGGTATCCTGCTTAGTGATACGTGTATTTGTACAGCTCTTTATCTAATCATGTGTATGTTTTTGTAAATAACTATATGTAAATTATTTTTTTCTGATATGTTGCATGGGTATCTATATTTAAATCTTATGTATATTCACACTTTAAGCTCTGTGTGGTGTTGAAAGACTACTAATGCCTATATAGTATGGCTTCTTTCTACTAAACGCTTTTTTCCAGTAATTTACAACTTGTTCCCTTTTCTGCTTGGGTCAGCAGAACAGTGCCATGACGTCTCCAGCTGGAATTTGTCTTTCCCTTTGTTCTTCCTGTTTTGAATTCACACCTTTAATTCCTGCCTCCCACAGCTCCACTGACTGAAAAATAAGTGCGGCACCTGTTCATCATCTCTATGCCTGGACATTATTCTATGCTATTCTGCAGAATCTAGTGGAGATGTGTGGGTTGTGCAACTATTCACATATTTACATATGTTCACACACATATATACAGGTATATATATTTAATGACAGTCTGTTCTGTGTTCCTGAAGTCTTTATATGTCCATTTCTGTACTGCTCATGCTCAGTGCATAGCGGATTGTGTGCTTTTTAGCTGGTAGGAGTTAGAACAGAATTTTTTTAGCAGACTTCTGTTGTGTATGCTCATGCAGCTATAATGTCATAGAGGATTAAGAGAGCTGTGTCATACTAAATGAGAACAGTATTCATTATTAAAATAATTTGAAAAAGGTGATATGTAGTTCTTAAGCTTTGGATAACAGGTGAAAGTACTTATTGCTACAAAGGACCTTGTAGATTCATCCTACTCTTCTCTTTGTTCTCAACCTGAGTTGCTCTGTGCTGGTCTCTGAGCTTGTGTATAGCCAGGGAATTCCCCATGGAGGGCAATGGTGCAGGCTAATGGATGCACAAGAACTTTGTAACACCTTTAAGCCTTATTTAATGAAAACCAAACAAACTATGGAAACTTATTTGCAAGTTGTAATAAATTGTTTTGCATTGCCTTCATTCTGTTTTGTTAGCCATTGTCAATGTTAAGACAGAAGGACAAGGATTTTGACAAGATTGAATTTTTTTGTGTGTGGAGGGAACCTACTTGCCCAGCCTGAGTGTGTTTCTGTTCCTTTTATGCATTGGTTAGTGGCATGGCCCCATGTCATGGAAGGGCTAGTTCCTGTGTTACTCACAGTGTGGTTCAGCAGCACAGTAGGCCTGTCTCAGCCTGGGTTGTCCAAGTTCTGCTCTGGCACCATTCTCACCTGGGTGTTTCCACCCCTTTCCCTCTGTGCACACTGCTTTGGCAGCTGAAAGTCAAGCTGGTTGAGGGAGCTGTCTTGTAGAGTGTGTCTCTGTTAGCTGTGGTTTTGTTTTGTTGTGTGAAGACTTGTACTGTCATGCTTTGGGTAACGCAGCAGCTGAGATGTCCCTTGGAGTGGAACAGAGGACATGAGAAGAGATGATATGGGTTGGAGGCAAGAGCTGAGTTGGGATTAATGCTGAATAAAAGAGATGAAAAGGTATATTGATTCCTTTCATTATGTGTTCTAGGCACTGATGATTTGGGGATCTGAAGGAAAAGGAAGTATGTGACCATGGTGTTAGGAGCTATACATATTAGTATACATATTATTATACATTATTAATGCATATTAAAATGTGGGAATCAGAAACACAACAGAAAAAATTAAAATCACGCATACAAATTCTGGCATCTTCTAATTTTGAAAGTGAGGAATTGTGCTGTAGGTTTGGTAAAAGTCTTCTATGTATTTTTGTATGTAATATGAGCCTACAAAAATTTGGAAAGCACTATGCCTTCACTGTGTTCTAGCCAATGTGGACCAAGCAGGCTTCCTAGCAAGGTGGTTGATGCCCCAAGCCTGTCAGTGTTTAAGAGGCATTAATATGCCCTTAATAACATTCTTTAACTTTTGATCAGCCCCAAATTGGTCAAGCAATTGGACTAGATGATCGTTGTAGGTCCTTTCGACTGAAATTATGTTCTGTTCTGGTCTGGTCTAGTCTAGTCTATATGCTTTTATGAACTGGCATAGACTGAAAATCAAAACCCTACTTAAAAAGAAACAAAAGATCTACACATAAGAAGAAGTAATTATGTGAAAACATATTTTCACAACCTACTTTACTGTATACACCAAAGTAAACCTGGCAATTGTTATAGAATAACCTAATCACTGATTATTTTATAAGTTAAGCAGATTAGACATCATTCTATAATTTATGGGTGCTTCAGTTTGTTATCCATATTGTTTATATTTAAACTGCACAGTACATTTCTCTCTTGCATTATCTGTTACTTTATCTGATT